ATATATATATATATATATATATATATATATATATATATATATATATATATATATATATATATATAAATAAATAATTTTGATATATTTAAATAAATAATTATAATAAAATTATAAAATATAAATAAATAAATAATTTTGATATATTTTATTTCTTATTATTAAAAATAAATATATATATATAGAAAGGGAATAAATATAATTTAAATAATAAATTTAAATATAAAAATTAATATTTATTTATAGTTTGGGAATAAATATAATTTAAATAATAAATTTAAATATAAAAATTAATATTTATTTATAGTTTGGGAATAAATATAATTTAAATAATAAATTTAAATATAAAAATTAATATTTATTTATAGTTTGGGAATAAATATAATTTAAATAATAAATTTAAATATAAAAATTAATATTTATTAGTTAATTAATAATAATTTTTTTATTTATAAAAATTATATTATAGTTTTAAAATTAATTTTATTAATAAATTATATATAAAATTTAATTAATATTAAATATAAAAAATATATTTAATAATGAATTCTGAAACAATAAATGAAAGTTTAATTCGGTAATTAATATAAAATAAAGATAAATATAAGTGCCAGCAATAGCGGTTAAACTTAATTTATAAATTAATTATTACTAATAATATTGATATAAAATTAATTTATATTATAATTAAATTTTTTAATTTTAGGTGAAATTTTTAATTAAATAATAATAATTATAAATTTATAATATTTAAATAAAAAAATTTAAAAAAAAACTAGGATTAGATACCCTATTATAAAAATTAATAAAAATATTAAATAATTAAATGTTGAATCATTAAAATTAAATAATATGGCGGCTTTTTATATCTAATTAGAGAGACTTGTATATTAATTTGATATTCCACGATAAGAGATACTTAAGTTTAATTTATGTATTGTTGTTTTTATAGTTTAAATAAATTTATGATTAAAAATATTTATTATAATAGAAATTCAAATCAAAATATAGTATATTTAAGGTTTTTATGAGTCTTAATAAATTAAATTTTTGGATAATTTATTTTAATATAAATTTGAAAGAGAATTTAAAAGTAAATTATAGTAATTTCTTTAATTGAAGATAGTTCTAGAAAGTGTACAAATCGCCCGTCAATTTCATTATTAAGTTGAAATAAGTCGTAACATAGTAAAAGTACTGGAAAGTGTTTTTAGATTTAAAATTTTAGTTTAATTTATTAAAATATTTCTTTTACAATGAAAAGATTAAATATTTAAATATTTAAAATTTTATATTAATAAATTTAGATTTATTATTTTTAAATATTGATTTATGAATTTTTAAAGGTTTATAAAAATAATTTTGTTTAATTAATATTTTTGAATAAATTTAATTTTTTTATAGTTTAAAGTAATGTGAATGAAATAATTTAAATATTAAAAAGTAGAATTGTTTTTGTACCTTTTGTATCAGGGTTGATTAAAATATTATAATAATTTATATATCTCGAAAATAAAAGAGCTAAATTTATAAAATTTTTTTTGTGGCAATAAAATTATTAATATAAATTTAGAAATTATATGTTAAACGAATTTATTAATATCTAGTTTTTTTAAAAATAAATTTAATTTAGATATAAAGATTTATAAATTAAAATTATAAAATTTGATTTATAATTTTTATATTAAAAATTTATGGGATAAACTATAAATTTAAGAATAAAAATTTTAATTTAAGTATTAATTTTAGTTTTATGGAAATAATATTATTTTTTAATATAAAAAATTTAATAATTTATTAATAAAATAATCTTAAAAGATTTAAATTAATAATTTTATTTATAATATAAAAATATATATTTGAATTAGAAAAATATAGTAATAATGATTAAATAAGTAGTAATATTTATAGAATATATTATAATATATATATATATATATATATATAATTTAAAGGAATTCGGCAAAATGATTATTCACCTGTTTATCAAAAACATGTCCTATTGTTTATAATTTTAGGTCGATCTGCTCCATGAATTTTATATTTAAATAGCTGCAGTATATTGACTGTACAAAGGTAGCATAATAAATTGTCTTTTAATTGAAGAATTGAATGAATGGATTAATGAAATAATAACTGTCTCTAAATTATTTAATGAATTTAGATTTTTAGTAAAAATTCTAAAATTTAATTATGGGACGATAAGACCCTATAGAATTTTATTTAATTTATTATTTATATAAATATTAATATGTAATTAATAATTTAAATTTGATTGGGAGGATTAATAAATTTAATAAACTTTATTTGATAATTAATTTTGATTTAAAGATATATTTTGATTTATAAATTATAATTATAAGAATAAATTACCTTAGGGATAACAGCGTAATATCTTTTGATAGACCGTATAGATAAAGATGATTGCGACCTCGATGTTGAATTAAGATTAAAGTTAAACGCAGAAGTTAAAATTTTGAGTCTGTTCGACTCTTAAAATCTTACATGATTTGAGTTCAAATCGACGTAAGTCAGATTGGTTTCTATCTATAATAAATTTTAAATTAATTGTACGAAAGGACCTTAATTTATAAATAATTTAAAGGAAAAAATATTTAATAATGATTTAATTATTTTAGCATAATAGTGCATTAAATTTAGAATTTAATTATATTAATGTAAGTATATTAATAAATAATAATTTCTATTTTGATTAATTTAATTGTTTTAATAATTATAGTTTTAATTAGAGTAGCATTTTTAACTTTGTTAGAGCGAAAAATTTTAGGTTATATTCAGGATCGAAAGGGGCCAAATAAAATATTATTTTTAGGATTGTTTCAGCCTTTTAGAGATGCATTAAAATTATTATCTAAGGAGTGATATTTTTTTAATTATTCAAATTTATATATTTATAGACCAATAATAATATTTTTTTTATCTTTAACATTATGAATTTTATATCCTTGAATTTATTCATTATATAAATTAAATTATAGAATTTTATTTATAATGTTAATTTTAGGGATGGGAGTGTATCCTGTATTATTTATTGGTTGAATTTCAAATTGTAATTATTCTATTTTAGGATCTATACGGTTGGTTGCTACAATAATTTCTTTTGAAATTAATTTATTTTTTATAGTTTTTAGTTTAATAATGTTAGTTGAAAGATATTCATTTTTTGAATTTATAAATTATCAAGGTATAATTAAATTTTCAATTTTATTGTATCCATTATATTTATTAATATTTATTAGAATATTAATTGAATTGAATCGTACTCCATTTGATTTAATTGAAGGAGAATCTGAATTAGTTTCTGGATTTAATGTAGAATATTATAGAGGAATGTTTGTATTAATTTTTTTATCTGAATATATAAATATTATATTTATAAGAATAATTTTAACAGTAATATTTTATGGATTTGAATTTTGATCATTAAAATTTATTGTAACTTATATTTTTCATATTTGTTTAATTATTTGAATTCGTGGAATTTTACCTCGAATTCGATTTGATAAATTGATATATATATGTTGAACAGAAATATTAATATTGGTTATATTATATATAATATATTTATATTTAATAAAAGAGTTAATATTAAATTAGTAAGTTAATAGAAAATTTAGATTTCTATAATATATTTTCAAGATATATACTTATTCAAGTTCATTAACTTTAAAATTTAAAAAAAAAAATTATTTATATGAATTTCAAATTATTTTATCTCATATTTTTCTTGTATAAAATATTAAGAAAAAATATAAAAAATAGGTTGTTGTAAAAATTATATTAATATTTGTAAATGGATATTCAATTAATTGTTTTCCTAATCATGTTAATATAATAAAATTATTTAAAAAAAATCAATAATAAATTTTATTTAATAAATTGAATTTATTGTTTATTAAATTATTTTTATAAAGAATAGTAATGTATAAAATTAAGATTGATATTACTAATCCAATTACTCCTCCTAATTTATTTGGAATTGCTCGTAAAATTGAATATGCAAATAAAAAGTATCATTCAGGTTTAATATGAGTTGGAGTATTTATAGGGTTTGCAATTTTAAAGTTATCAGGATCACCTAGATAATATGGATATTGAAGATTAATTAATATAAAAATTAATAAAATTAAATAAAATCCTAATAAATCTTTAATAGAAAAATATGGATGAAATGTAATTTTATAATTGTTATAATTTGATCCTAAAGGATTTGATGATCCTGTTAAATGAAGAGCAAATAAATGTAAAATAATTATAAATAAAATAATTAAAGGTAAGATAAAATGTAAAGAGAAAAATCGATTTAGAGTTGCATTATTAATAGAAAATCCACCTCAAATTCATAAAACAATTGTATTTCCAATATATGGAATTGCAGATAGAAGATTTGTAATTACAGTTGCTCCTCAATATGATATTTGTCCTCAAGGTAATACATATCCTATAAATGCTGCTGCTATTGATAATAATAAAATTAAAATTCCAATTCCTCATACTCTTTTTAATTTATAAGAACAATAAAATATATTTCGTCTAATATGAATATATATTATTAAAAAATAAAATGAGGCTCCATTTATATGAATTAATCGAAATATTCATCCTGAATTTATATCTTTTATAATATTTGTAATTGATCAAAATGCAATATCAATATTTGGACAATAATGTATTGAAAGAATAAAACCTGAAATAATTTGAATTATTAAGAAAATTCCTAGAATTGAGCCAAAATTTCATATATAATTAATATTTATTGGTGTTGGAAGATAAATAGTTGATATAATAATTTTTATGAATTCATTTGATCTAAAAAAATTTAAATGTTTTTTCATTATAAAAAAAAATAAAATTATAATTTATTTTTTTTTTCGAAGAGTTTTATTTTCAATATAAGAAATTTTTGTTATCAAAATTAGTGATGAAATTAATATAATAATTATAATAATAAATAAGTTTATATTTGTTTTAGTATATAAAAGAAATAAATCTGAATTTTTAATTATGTTTGTGTATAAATTTGCGTCTATAAAGTTATAAAATCTTGATGATAATTTTATAAATACTAAAATTATAAATATAATTTGAATAAATGTTTTTAATTTTAGTTTAAATGGATAATTTACTAATGAAATAAAGTATGAGAATATAACTAATATTCCTCTTAAAAATACAATTATGATTATAAGAATGTATAAAGAATTTATTGAACATGAAATATATATTATAATTGATAAATAAATTGAATATATAATTAAATAAATCAATAAAATTATAGAATTATTAAAAATGTTATTTAAATAAATTCTTGAAATAATTGAAATAATTGATGAAAAAATTGTTTTTATTAAAATTAATGTTGTGAATATAATTAATTTATTAAATTTTGTAGTTAAAAAATAATTAGTTTTTTTCAAAAAATAGTTTATTTAAAATGATAATTTTGGGTATTATCGATATTTAATTATTTTAAATTTTTTTGAAATTTAATAAATTTAGCTAAAATAAATAATTATATTTTTAATTTACAAAATTAAAGTTTTTTATTTAAACTATTTAGCTATTGTTAAATTAATAAAATTAGTATTTTTTATATTTATATTTTTTATATTTATTGTGTATTATAATGTTCATTTTTTAAATTTTTTAATTTTTTCAGAATTTATAGTAATTACTATTTTATTTTTTTTAATTGAAATTGAAATTAATTCTTGATTATTCTTGGTTTTTTTAGTATTTTCAGTTTGTGAATTAGTATTAGGATTATCATTAATAGTAAGAATTAATTATGAATTAGGTCATCAAAAATTAAATATATTAAATTTGATTTATTAAATTATATTATTATTATTTATAATAATGATAATTATAATAATAATTTTTTATTTAATAATGTTGTTTTTTATAAATAATAAATATTTAAATTTAATTATTAGTAATTTAATTATAGTTATATTATTATTTAATTTATTTAATTTTAGTTGAATTGAATGAATTATTTATATATGAAATTTTAGATTCAATAATTATTCATATGGATTAATAATATTGACTTTATGAATTTTTAGATTAATTTTTTTATCATTAAATAATAATAGAATTAATTGTTTATTAATTAATTTATTATTAATAATATCTTTATTATTTGTGTTTATATCAATAAATTTTTTATTATTTTATTTATTTTATGAATTAGGATTATTAATTATTTTTTATATAGTAGTAAAATGAGGGTATAGTGAAAATCGATGATTAGCAGGATTTTATTTAATATTTTATACTATAGTATTTTCTTTACCTATATTATATATTATTTATTATATTTATTGAATGAATAATAGATTAAATTTTATATTAATAGAAATATTAAATTTTAATTTAAATTTTATATTATTTATATATTTATTAATGTCATTTTTAGTTAAAATTCCTATTTATATATTTCATGGATGATTATTAAAAGCTCATGTTGAAGCTCCATATTATGGATCAATAATTTTAGCATCAATTATATTAAAATTAGGGGGATATGGAATATTACGGATAATAATAATAATAAAGTTTGAATTTATTTATTTTAGAAAAATTTTAATTGTAGTAAATTTATTTGGAGTATTAATTTTAAGATTAATATGTTTAATGCAATATGATATAAAATCTATTATTGCAATTTCTTCAATTGTTCATATAGGATTAATAATTATAAGAATATTAACATTTTTTAAATTAAGATTAATTGGTAGATATATAATAATAGTTTCTCATGGATTAAGATCTTCTGGTTTATTTTTTTTAGTAAATGTAATTTATAAGCAAACTAATAGGCGGTTAATATTTGTAAATAAGGGAATAATTAATTTTATACCATCTATATCTTTAATGTGATTTATGTTATGTTCATCAAATATGGGATCTCCTGTATCATTAAATTTAGTTAGAGAGGTGATGTTAATAATTGGATTAATTTTTTGATTAAAATATTTATTTATTATTTTAATGATATATTGTTTATTTAGATTTATTTATTCAGTTTATTTATTTATAATTATTAATCATGGAAAAAATTATATTAATTTTAAAATTAATAATAGAATAATAATTGATTATTATATTTTATTAATACATTGAATTCCATTAAATTTAATATTTTTAAAATTATATTTTATTTATTTAAATAGTTTAATTAAAATATTGATTTGTGAAATCAATGATATAAATTTTTATTTATTTTAAATTATTATAAAGATATTAATTTGTGGAATTTTATTATTTAAATTTAGGTTACTAATAATATTAATAAGATTATATTTTAAATATTTTAATAAATTAATAATTTTTGAATGATTAATTTATATTTATAATTCAATAAAATTTAATTTATTTATATTAATTGATTATAAATCATTAATATTTATATTTTTAGTTAGATTAATTTTTTCAATAATTATTATTTATAGAATTAGATATATAGATTTAAGAATATTTAATATAGATCGATTTTTTTATTTAATAATTTTATTTTTAATTTCAATATATATATTAATTTTAAGTCCAAATATATTATCAATTATTTTAGGATGAGATGGATTAGGATTGATTTCATTTTGTTTAGTAGTTTATTATATAAAAATAAAATCTTTTACTTCAGGGATAGTGACTATTATTTTAAATCGAGTTGGAGATTCAGGATTATTATTAATAATATGTTTTGTAGCTTGTTTTGGAAGATGAAATTTAATATTATATAGAATGAATGAATATATAATATTTTTTTTATTATTAATAGCTTTTACAAAAAGAGCTCAAATTCCATTTTCAACTTGATTACCAATAGCAATAATAGCTCCAACACCAGTATCTTCTTTAGTTCATTCTTCAACTTTAGTTACAGCTGGAATTTATTTATTGATTCGTTATACAGATTTATTAAATTATGAATATAAAAGAATTATTTTATTAGGAGGTAGAATAACAATATTATTTGCAGGATTAACAGCAAATTTTGAATTAGATTTAAAAAAAGTTGTTGCTTATTCAACATTAAGACAATTGGGGTTTATAATAAGGATAATATCTTTAGGATTTAATGAATTAGTATTTTTACATTTATTTATTCATGCAATATTTAAATCATTAATATTTATATGTGTTGGGAGATTTATACATTATATAAATGGAATTCAAGATATACGTATATATTATGGAATATATTATATTTATCCAATAAAAAGAATAATTATTATATTTACAATATTATGTTTATGTGGATTTCCTTTTTTAGTTGGATTTTATTCTAAAGATTTAATTATTGAATATTTTTTTTCTAGAAAAATAAATTATTTTTCTATTGTAAATCTTATTGTTAGAACAATATTTACAGTTTCTTATTCATTTCGAATAATTTTAGTATTAATAAATAAATATATAATAATTAATATAATTTATAAAGATGAAGATTTAATTATAAATTGATCAATAATAATTATAATAATTTTAAGAATTATTTATAGAAAATTAATGTTTAATTTAATAAATTTTAATTTATATAGAATTAATTTAATATTAATTTATAAATTTATAGTATTAAAAATAATTTTTTTAGGAATAATTTTTGGATTTAATTTTTATAAGTACACATTATTGGGAAATGGATATGGAATATTTTTTATAATATTTATATTTATAAATTTTATTTATAAAAAAATTTATTTAAAAATGATTATTAAAATGTTTAATTATGAAATTTATTTTGAAAAAACTTTAATTGAAATAATTAGAGGAAAATTTATGGTATTAATATTAAGTTTATATAATATAAAAATTTCTAATATTATAATTAATACTTTTATAATAATAATGATTTATTTAATTTTTTTTATAATTTATTTTATTATTTTTTAATTTTATTTAAATAGCTTATATTAGAGCATAATATTGAAAATATTAATGAAAATTTTTAAATTTTTTAAATATATTTATATTTAGTTAGAATTATAAATATTCAAATAATTTATTAACAATAAATTGCTAATTTTTAGCTTTAACTAATTATTTTTTTTAAAAAAATTATTAATTGAAAATAAATAAAATATATATATATTATATATAAGAAGTAAATTTTACTTTTAATTTCGACTTAAAGATTGATTTATAATTTAATAAATCCTTATATAATTCTAATTATTATTATTATTGTTATTTAATTATTTTTAAAATATTCAATTTAAGAAGTTATTTCCTCATTCTAATAATAATGTTAAAATTAATCTTATTAAAAAAATTATAATTAGAATAAATGAAATTAATGTTGTATATGATTTTAAATAAAAAATTACTGGTATAAATAAAATAATTTCTACATCAAAAATTAAAAATATTATTGTAATTAAAAAAAATGGAAGAGAGAATGGAAGATTAGCTTTAGTAATTGGATTAAATCCACATTCAAATGGTGATCTTTTTTCATAATCTATTTTTTTTTTTATTGAGATTAATTTATTAATAGTTAATAAAATTATTGAAATTAATATTACTATAATAAAATACATTATAATATAAGTAATTATATATATTAAATAATTATTAAATTTTTTAATTGGAAATTAAATGTAATAGTTGGTTATACTATATATATATATATATAAATATTAAGATAATATTAAAATATATAAAATAAAATGTATATTTTTATAGATTAAATTAATATATAAATAAACGTATAAAGAAATAATCAAATTACATCTACAAAATGTCAATATCAAATAGCTAATTCAAAATTAATATTATGTATATTTGAAAATTGAATTTTTATTATTCGATATAAAGATACAAATAAAAAAATTGATCCAATTAATACATGTAAACCATGAAATCCAGTTGCTATAAAAAAGATTGATCCATAAATTCTATCATTAAAACAAAAGAAAGAATTTAAATATTCAATTGATTGAAGAATTGTAAAATAAAATCCTAAAAAAATTGTTAATATTAAATAAAATTTTCTTAAATTAAAATAATTTTTAATTAAAAAATAATGTCTTAAAGTTACAGTAAATCCTGAAGTTACTAAAATAAAGGAATTTAATAAAGGAATTTCAAATGGATTAAAGAATTTAATATCTTTAGGAGGTCATGTTATATCAACTTCAATATTTGGAGAAATTGATGAATGAAAAAATGTTCAAAAAAATGAAATAAAAAATATTAATTCTGAAATAATAAATAAAATTATTCTGAATTTTAAAAAATTAATAATATAATTTGTATGTAATCCTTGAAATGTTCTCTCACGAATAATATCTCGAAATCATAATATTGTAATTAATGAAGAATTAATTAAATTATATATAAAAAAAATATAATTTAATCTATAAATTCAAATAGCAGTTCTAATTAATGTATTTAATAATCTAAATGAAAGAATGATTGGTCATGGACTAAATGTAACTATATGAAATGGAAAGTTTTTTTTCATTATATTGTTAATTTGATTCTGAAAAATAAAGAATTAATAAAATTGAAAATACATAACTTTGAATAATTGATATAAAAATTTCTAAAATTAATAATATATTTTGAATTAATAAATTAATAGGAATAATTGAAATAAAATTTCTAATAAAGATACCTAAAAGTGTTAAAATTAAATGACCAGAAATTAGATTTGCAGATAATCGAATTGATAAAGTTCATGGTCGAATAATTAATCTAATTAATTCAATAATTACTATAAAATTTATTAAAAAAGTTGGTGAATTTAAAGGAACTAAATGTCTAAGAAATATTAAATAATTTTTATAAATTAAATAAATTAAGAATCTAAATCATAATGTTAAAGATAAAATTATATTTAATAATAAATGTCTTGTAATTGTAAATACATAAGGAATTAATCTGAATATATTTACAATTATAATGTAAATTATTAATCTAATAAAAATAATAATATTTGATTGATATTTTGATTTAGAAATAATTTTAAATTCATTATATATAAAATTTAATAAAGATTTAAAGATAAATAAAATCCGAGATTGAATTAATCAAAAAATTCTTGGTAAAATAAGAATTGGTAAAAATATAAATGTTCAATTTAGTGAGATATAATGATTAAATGATGGATCAAATATTTCAAATAAATTTATCATTGTCAATTTCATTTTTTTAAAATATATTTAGATTTTTTTTTTTTTATATTAAAATTAATTAAAAATGAATTTATTAATAAAATAAATAAGTAAAAAATAATTAGATATATAAAATAAATAATAAATCAATTTATTGGTATTATTTGTGGAATTAAATTTCATTAGAAGTAATTTTAAATACTATATTTGATTTAAAAGATCAACTCTTAAATTTCAGACATCTAATGAAATTTTAAAAAATAATTTTTAGAAAAATTTATTTTAGTTTGACAAACTAATGTTATTATTAATTAACTAATTTTTTATAATTGTTTATTAATTCAATTTAAGAAAAAATTGAATGAAGTTGATTCAATTATAATTGGTATAAATCTATGATTTATTCCACAAATTTCTGAACATTGTCCAAAAAAAATTCCTGGACGTTTTCTAATTAAATTTAATTGATTAATACGTCCTGGAACTGCATCAACTTTAATTCCTAGAGATGGAACAGTTCATGAGTGAATTACATCTGTTGATGAAGTGATTAATCGTATTGGAATTCTTATAGGAATTACTATACGATTATCAGTTTCTAATAATCGAAATTGATTAATATTTCTATAATTTAATATATAAGAATCAAATTCAATATTATTAAATTCGGGGTATTCATATGATCAGTATCATTGATGTCCAATTGACTTAATAGAGAAAAATGGATTAACAATTTCATCAATTAAATATAAAATTTTTAATGATGGGAAACAAATAATTAAGAGAACAAAGATTGGAATGATTGTTCAAATAATCTCAATATTATGATTTTTTAATAAAAATAAATTTGAAAATTTATTTAAAAATAAATCTATGATAATATAAATTGTTAATGTAGAAATTATAATAATAATGGTTATTACTATATTATGGAATGAAATTAAATTATCTGCGTAAAATGAGTTAGATTCTTGGAATATTAATATTATTCATGTAGATATTTTAATAAATAGAAATTAAATTTATTAATTTTAATAAAAGTTTAATATAAAACTTTATTATTGAAACTTAAATTCAATGCACTTTTCTGCCATATTAAAATTTTAATAAAATAGTTTTTATATTTAAATTTTTAATTAATAAAGGCATTTCAATATGTGAATGTTCTAATGGTGGATATGAATTTAATCATTCTAAAGAAGATTGATTAAATTTAAATAATATTATTCGTTTTGAAATTAATCTTTCTAAAATAATAAAAATAAGTAAAATTAATCTATTTAATGAAATTATTGATCCAATTGATGAGATTGAATTTCAACAATAATATGAATCAGGGTAATCCGAATATCGTCGAGGTATTGATATTAATCCTAAAAAATGTTGAGGAAAAAAAGTTAAATTTACTCCAATAAATATTATAGTAAATTGAATTTTTAATCATTTATTATTTATTAGTAATCCAGTAATTAATGGATATCAATGAATAAATCTTGAGATAATTGCAAATACTGCTCCTATTGATAATACATAATGAAAATGTCCAACAACGTAATATGTATCATGGAGAATAATATCAATTGAAGAATTAGATAATATAATTCCTGTTAATCCACCAATAGTAAATAATAAAATAAATCCTAATGATCATAAAACAGAAATATTTAAGTTTAATTTTGCTCCATGATATGTTGCTAGTCATCTAAAAACTTTGATTCCTGTTGGGACAGCAATAATTATTGTTGCTGAAGTAAAATATGCTCGGGTATCAACATCTAATCCAACAGTGAATATATGATGTGCTCAAACAATGAATCCTAAGAAGCCAATTCCTAATATAGCATAAATTATTCCTAAATTTCCAAAAATTTCTTTTTTTCCTCTTTCGTTTATTACAATTTGGGAGATTAAACCAAATCCTGGAAGAATTAAAATATAAACTTCTGGATGACCAAAAAATCAAAATAAATGTTGATATAAAATTGGATCTCCACCACCTATTGGATCAAAAAATGAAGTATTAAAATTTCGATCAAATAGTAATATTGTAATTGCTCCAGCTAATACTGGTAATGATATAATTAATAAAATTGCTGTAATAAATACTGATCAAGGAAATAAAGAAATTTGATCAAAATTTAATGAAAAATTTTTTATTATTATAATTGTTACTATTAAATTTAATGATCCTATAATTGATGAAATTCCTGATATATGGAGTGAAAAAATTGCAAAATCTACTGAAGGAGAAGAATGATATAAATATTCTGATAAAGGTGGGTATACTGTTCATCCTGTTCCGGGTCTTGGATAAAATAAATTTCTTAATAATAATATCAAAAGTGATGGAGGAAGTAATCAAAATCTAATATTATTTATTCGTGGAAATGCTATATCTGGAGATCCAAGTATTAATGGAATTAATCAATTTCCAAATCCGCCAATTAAAAATGGTATAACTATAAAAAAAATTATTAAAAATGCATGACTTGTAACAATTGTATTATAAATTTGATCATTATTAATTCATGATCCTGGTGAACTTAATTCTATTCGAATAATAAATCTTATTGATGAACCTAATATTCCTGATCATAAAGCTAAAATAATATATAAAATTCCAATATTTTTATGATTTGTAGATATAAATCATTTAATAATTAAGATTTAAAATTTTATTTTATTTTTAATTTTGAAGATTAATAGTTTAAATTTAACTTAAAATCTTATTGAAATACAAATAATTTAGTATTAAATCTTAATAAGAATTAAATTGTAAATTTAAAAATTGAAAATTAAAATTTTTCTAATACTAATTTTTAAATATAAAATAAATTAAAGTTTATTATTATAGTTTAATATAAATATTAAATTGCAAATTTAAAGATTAATTTAAAAATTATAATAATTTATATAAAGAAATTTATAATTAAAAAAATAAATATATTTATTATTAATAATATTGTTGATATAAATCTATAATGAAAATTATTATTTTTAATATTTAAAATATTATTTTTATAAAAATTAATTTTTATAAATCTATTTTTTAATATAATAAAATAATTTCAAATTATAATTATTCTCGAAATTAAAATAATTAATATTATTCAATTAAAAAAATTATTATTAATTATTGAAAAAATAAATGTTCATTTAATAATGAATGTTAAAAAAATTGGATATATTGAATAATTAAATATTAAAATTAAAAATGAATAATATTGAAATTTATTAATGAATATAAAATTATTATTATTTAAAAAATTTTTTTTTAAAAAATTAATTAATAAATAATAATTAATTGTATAAATAATAATAAAAATTAAAAATAATAATTTATTTATTCTTAATAGTAAAATAAAATATATTGAATTAAAAATTGTTGAACATCCTAGTATTTTTTTTAATGAATAAAATTTATTTGTATATATTGAAATAATTAAATTTCTTATTAGTAAATAAATAATTGATCAATAATTAATATAAGATATAATAATAAGTATATAAATTGGGATAAATTTAATTAATGTAGATATTAAAAAAATTTGTCTTCAATTTATTATTTCATAAGAAAAAATTATTCAATAATGAAATGGAAAAATTCCAATTTTTAAAAAAAATATTATTTGAATTAAAAAATTAAATTCATAATTTTTTATTGAATTAATTGATCTAAAATATATGATAATTATTAAAAATAAAAATACTCCTGAAATTACTGAAATTATAAAATAAATTAATCTTGGAATTTTATTTGATGATTTAATATTAATTAATCTAATTCTAATAATTGTTCTAAATTCTATTAATAATCATTGAATAAGAATATTATTTGAATTTATAATAAAAAATAATAGAGAAATTAATATATAGATAAATAAATTATGTTTTAAATTAATAAAAATTAATAATATAATATTAAATTGGAAATATTATTAAGTAATAGTATAATTGAAATATATACATTTATATTTTATCAAAATATTTCTTTTATCAGACATATTACTTTATTAGATATAATAAATAATATATTAATTTTTAAATGCAATTTAAAAGTTTTAAATTTAAACTAATATCCAATTTAATAATTTAATTAATCCTATAAAATTCAAAATTTTATGTGCTTTAACACTAAAATAAAAATAAATAATTATATGTTATATAAAAATTTTTAATTTATCGATAGGGTATGAACCTATTAGCTTTATTTAGCTTATTATATAAATAATTTAATTTATATTTATAAATTTATAAATTAATTTTATATTGAAAATATAATGTTTTTTTTTAAACTATATAAATTTCTTAGAAATATAGATTTTTAAATCTTTCATAAAGTTAGAAGCTTTATATCAATTATTTC